CTAGCAGTGCATCAGGCTAACTTTGTATCTGATTAAGGTTAAAACAGTTTTAATGAGCAACATTGTTTAAAGACACAGAGTAGCCAATACTTCAGGTGCGGACGTGTAAATTTAATACACTGTATGTTTTGTGTAATGTATAGTATCATAAAACAGCATATACTGGCAAATGCAGCATTGCATAAATGGAAAATGGCACTTTTCACCAATATCTAAATCACGAAGGTAAAGTTTTATTTTATAGCTGTTTCAATTTAATTAATGAAGGAAACTGTAATTTAAAAAAGATGGATTTTCTTAGATGCCTCTGAGATTTGCTGAAATACTCACTAGGACTTTTTTTTTTTTTGTCTTTGAAAGATCCTGTCTCTCTACTACACTCTTCCTAAGGAACCTGAGAGCTCATGTGAGGCATTTGATATGAGTGTGCAACTTGTGCCAGGTAATTTCTCTTTTACTGATAGATTTCTTTACATCACTGCATGATCATCTTCTTTTGAGATACTTTAGCCGGTAAAAACAATATTCCTTTAGTCAACTCATGATTTCTCAGATCAGAAAGTCATCAACTGTTGCTGTCAGTGGTGAAACTGAACCAAAGAAAATGTTCACAATCAACTCTGTTTAGTATTGGGTTTTCTTCACCTATTCAAATTTGTCTGATCTGAAATGTGGATCTGTGATGAAAAAGTAAAAGAGAAGAAACCCAAGGAAATATGACAGTAGGTGTATTTATACCTACTGTCAAAATCTAAGAATGGAGTAAAATTAATGCCAAAATCGGTGCACAAACAGAAACCTAAAACCTTTTATCTATTGTCACTTGCAGAAAAAATCACCGAAGATGAAAAAGTATACAGGTTGAGGATACAGGTCAGGTGAGTATCAGAGAGAACTGTGAATATCAATTTTACTCCTTTGTTTCAAGTTAACTTTTATGTGTATAGTCTTTTACCCCTTAAAATATTTTCATTTCTCAATACATTTTATTTCCCAAAATCGTCGTTCAGCTCCTTCCAGAAATTTTATTCCATCCATTTTTTCCCCCCACATGCTAAACTTACTCTGTGTTCAACTATTTCATATTTTTGTAATGATAAAAATCTTTGTTTGTCTGCAGGTTTAAGAACAGAGACCGCGATGCATCTTTATCAATCGTGGATGTCGATTTACCATCCGGCTTCACCTTTAACAAGCCTGACCTGGACGCAGTAAGAGTGCAGAAAAAACAAACATCCGGAAAAATCCAAACCCGTTTTATTTGCATAACCTTTTAAAATGTGTGTTAACAGTTGTCTACAGGCCGTTCTCCTGTCATCTCCAAATATGACGCTCAAACATTTCTGTCAGAAAGAGGATCTCTCACCCTTTATCTGGATAAGGTAAGACTTCCTCTAGATTGTGCAACATCTTGCTTAATACCGGGTTTTCATCCATATTAAAATAGTCTATTAATTTATAAATTCTCCATTCTTCACGGGTTTAAAATGAGGCTTATTTAGTTTCAGGCAGACCGGCTTAGTGCAGCATGGATGTACTCAACAATACTCTTATGGGAGTGTCTAAATTTAATCTCTAAAAATGTTTACTACTATAAAAAAATGTAGACGTTTTATATATTTATGTCTTGTGCACTTTTTGTGCCAGATTTCTCACACGCAGCAGGAGGAGATCTCTTTCCGGATCCACCAGGAGATGAAAACTGGAATCCTGCAACCAGCTGCTGTGAAGGTCTATGAATATTACAACCGTAAGTTTCCAGCTGCAGGAATGCCCAGCAAAAAAAAAAAAAAAACTATGAACAATTTTCACAGTTCTATTTTGAAGAAATGAAATGCATATTTTAATTCTAAATTACAGAAATGATTCCCTTGTAAAGTGCAACTTGTTTCAAACATATGTTGTTGTTGCAGAGAAACCTTGTGTGAAATCCTACGGCCCTGAGACAACCGGGTCTCTGTCCAAGCTGTGTTTGAACGGACATTGCGTTTGCGCTGAAGGTAACAGAGCAGCGGCTGTCAGCTGAGTGCTCCTCTGCTGTCTGCGCTGCCCAGTGTGGAAATGCTCACCTGCAAACCAATCAATTTTCAATCTTTGCTTGAAAAAAAAAAAAAGAGAATTTCCCAAACAAAGCTGCTTCAAACTGTTACATTGACAAAACTGTGGGGCTTTTTCCGACATGCAAAAACAATTCTCAGTGAACTGATTTATTTTTAATAGCAAGCGGTGAAACAGTGATGCCTTTTCTGCACCACATCTTATGTATGGAACACCAGTAGTCCTGTACTGTGAGGTTTGGCGTTCAGTCCAGATTCTTTTAATTTTTTTCCATCAACTTCAATACTTCAAAACTATTTTGTCCCACATACAAACTGCCTGTGTGAAAACTATGTCGCACTTATAGGTTCCATGGTCATCACAATATTTTTGCTAATGGAGTCAGTATTTAGCACTTTGGAAGCCATTTGCGAAACATCTACTGAAAACACTCGTCCCAACTGTAGGTTTAATTTTGTTATTAGGATCTTATCAAGTAACAAATGATACAGGGGAAATGTTTGGACAGCAAATTTTGTTCCTGAATTAAGTGCTAGTACAGTGACAGGAACTGTTCAGTTCTTATGGGGGAATTTTAGTGCCATAAGTCGAGAGCATACATTTTCAGTCTGAAAGCAGAATGCCTTGTCTTTTGTTCTCAAAACTTGTAGTGCTTCTGCTGCCTTTCAAATATTCTCTGTGCTCTCTCAGATTTTTGTGTTCTTACTCAGATTTTCTCCTTGTACGCAAAACGTCTCTCTGCTCAGAGACAAGAGAAATCCTGCACACTCGACTCAAAACAGTTAAATTACCCCATAAATTATGCGTCACTGTTATTATGTAGTAATTATCATTAACTTTCTTTTTAAATGTGTAGCCATATGCAAATAATATTCTTTTATGCATTTATATTTTTAATTCCAGAGATGTGCAATGGTCAGAAAAAAGGAAAAGTCAATGACAACGAGCGTCTTGGGAAGATTTGTGATTCCACTATAAATTTTAGTAAGTCTTTACATTTGCGCATATATGTATTTTTTTTATATATATATAGAGAATCAAAAATACTCTTCCTCAAACATTTTGTGCACATCTATTTCTTTTGAGATGTACTGAAGTGTTTCAAAGACATCTCTGTGCTGTACAGATTTCTGTGTAGTAAGTGATGACGATCATGTTTGGTATTTGGGGTCTGTGATTTTCTGCAGTTGGGTGTAAATAATTTCAGGCTAAGTTCACCTCATTTTTTCTGTGGCTCTAAGTGTTAATAGGTATCAAAATATACTTGCAAACAGACTAACGATCTTTGTCTCTCGTCAGTCTATAAGGTAAGAGTGCAAGAGTTAGTTGACAGGCCGTCGGCTGACGTTTACACTCTACAAATTTTGGAGGTGATCAAAGAAGGTAGGTGATAAAATGTCTCCTGATATCTCTGCCCTGTTCTCTGTTTTAGTCTGACGGGAACATGGGATTCAAATATTAACCTTGATTTACATTGCTAGTACTGTGACAAAGTAAAATGTTTGCACTACAATGGTACTACATAATGAAAGCAGGGCATTTCTACAGAAACATCCGGTAGAGATTTCCTCATCTCAAATAATGTACTAAAACAAAAGCCACGTCCAAAGGCTCATCTGGCGAACCATTGCTCTTTCCTTGACCGTTGCATTGTCATTCTTTGGCTCTCTACGTCTGATCCTCCAGCTGCAGGTTATCCAGAGCGCTGCTGCACTAAAACCAAGGAAGATGGAGCACATCACCCCAGTCCTGACAATGGCTCCCGGTAGCTCAGAGATTAGACTTTGAGATGTTTCGGTTGAATCGTTGTAAGGTTTTTATTAACCTTCCAGATCACTCGGGTGTTCTGGCTCAAGTCCACTCTGCGTACCCAGAACTAGAACCAAAAATGGTGAAGCAGCATGAAGTTTTTATCCTCCTCTAAACTGCAACACAGCCGAAACGCTGACTTCCACTAAATCAAGATTAAAAGCCCATCTGTTTAGAGCTCCCTGTGACTGATAAATGGAGTATTAATCAATATATATTTGATGATAATTATGCTTGATCATTTTGATGACGGCATTTGACAAACTTTAGGTTTGATAACATTTTTGTTGCCGCTCGTTTACGTGGCATCAGTGTCTCTGATGCCGGCAGTTTTCAAAAGCAGCTCTGAGTGAAACTTTTCTCCCGCTGAGGTGTGAAAGCCCACATGTGCAGGATCCACCGCTGTTGGGTTTATTCTACGCATCCGCAGGCAGATAGCAAAACCGTTGTGCTAACAAAAGCGTCGTCCTACTTCACCTGTTCAGTTTAGCGCAAGTTTGGATACAGAACATGTCTTACATGAGCCTTTGGTTCATCTGAGATGGAGACCAGTTCCTGTTCACTAACTGAGGCAGAAGCAAAAGCACATTCATGTCCGATGCTAATGTTATGTAATGTCGGTCAGTTGAGTGTTTGAACGGCCTGATGAGGACAGTTTAAAAACCATTTCTGATTATCGAGTCAATTTATTGGTCAACTTATGGATCAAATGCCATTCTTTCTTCTTTCTTGTAAGTGTTTCAATTCACTGAAGCAGCAATGCTACTACAAACCGGATTCCAAAAAAATTTGGGACACTACACAAATTGTGAATAAAAACTGAATGCAATGATGTGGAGATGGCAAATGTCAATATTTTATTCGTAATAGAACATAGATGACAGATTAAAAGTTTAATCTGAGTAAATGTAACATTTTAAAGGAAATATTTGTTGATTCAAAATTTCACAGTGTCTACAAATCCCAAAAAAGTTGGGACAAGTAGCAATAAGTGGCTGAAAAAAGTAAATTGAACATATAACAAACCGCTGGAAGACCAACCAACACTAATTAGGTCAATTGACAACATGATTGGGTATAAAAAGAGTTTCTTAGAGTGTCAGTGTCTCTGAAGCCAAGATGGTAAGAGGATCACCAATTCCACCATTGTTGCGCAGAAAGATGGTGCAGCAATACCAGAATGGTGCTACCCAGCATAAAATGGCAAAGACTTTTAAGTTATCATCATCAACCGTGCATAACATCATCAAAAGATTCAGAGAATCTGGAACAATCGCTGTGTGTAAGGGTCAAGGCCGTAAAACTCTACTGGATGCTCGTAATCTCCTGGCCCTTAAACGTCACTGCACCTCAAACAGGAATGTCAAGGAAATAACAGCATGTGCTCAGAAATACTTCCAGAAAGCATCGTCAGTGAACACAATCCACCGTGCCATCCGCCGCTGCCAGCTGAAACTCTACAGTGCAAAGAGGAAGCCATTTCTAAGCAGCTCCACAAGCTCAGTTGTTTGCACTGGGCCAGGAGTCATTTAAAATGGAGTGAAGCAAAATGGACAACTGTTCTGTGGTCAGATGAGTCGCGATTTGAAGTTCTTTATGGAACACTGGGACGCCATGTCATCCGGACCAGAGAGGACAAGGATAAGCCAAGATGTTATCAACGTTCAGAAGCCTGCATCGTTGATGGTCTGGGGCTGCATGAGTGCTGGTGGCCTGGGCAGCTTGCATGTCTCCATTAATGCAGAGAACTATGTTCAGGTTCTAGAACAACATATGCTCCCATCTAGACGTCATCTCTTTCAGGGAAGACCCTGCATTTTTCAACAAGATAATGCCAGACCACATTCTGCAGCAATCACAACATCATGGCTACGTAGGAGAAGGATCTGGGTACTGAAATGTCCAGCCTGCAGTCCAGATCTTTCACCTATAGAGAACATTTGGCGCATCATAAAGAGGAAGGTGCGACAAAGTCAGCCCAAGACGAATGAACAGTTAGAGGCCTGTATTAGACATGAATGGGAGAATTTCTATTTCTAAACTTAAGAAACTGGTCTCCTCTGTCCCCACACGTCTTATGAGTGTTGTAAGAAGGGGGGATGCCACACAGTTGTAAAAATGGCCTTGTCCCAACTTTTTTGGGATTTGTTGATGTCGTGAAATTTTGAAACATATTTTTCCCTTAAAATGATACATTCTCTCAGTTTAAACTTTTGATCTGTGATTTGTGTCCTATAGTGAATAAAATATTGGAGGTTGGCACCATTTGTCCCCAAATTTAAGACATAGGGGTGACCCAACTAAAACAAAAAAAAATCACAATTTGTGAATTTATTCACAATTTGTTTAGTGTCCTAACTTTTTTGGAATCCGGTTTGTATAAATACAGATAAACAGCTAAAATTATGATTTTTTGTTGTTGTTTTTGACCAGATTTTGTCACTACTTTACAGTTAACCTTGATGTGGAAGCACAAGGTAAACAGCGCAAGTTTCTTGGCAAAAAAGCATGCAGAGATGCTTTAGATCTGCAAACAGGCAAGACCTACCTGATCATGGGCTCATCCAGAGACATAAATAATGACGAACTCAACATGAGGTAACTGGAGATTAGTATCAATTTCACATTCGTACAAAATCCTCTTTAAAATGACTTTTGTGCATCAACGTCTACTATTGATAACAATAAATATTACATCGGTTGATGGAAAACCATCTGCTTGTAAAGTCCCTCACTGTGTGGCGATGTAATGAAGAGTATTTCTTCTGACTTGTGTTACTCAGCCGCTGGTATACGCTTGGAGGGAACACCTGGATCGAGTACTGGCCCTTAGTAATGGAGTGCCAGCTGGAGGCGCACCGACCTGTCTGTATGTGTCTGGAGGAGATGGTCGACCAGTTCACTGCCTTTGGATGCTTTGAATAAAACGGACCCAAACTAAATTCCCCTCACTCAACTTTTGTGACCCGCCTCCAGGACCAGGATGTCAAGTTTCCAGTCTAAACAGATTTCTCTTTGTTTTTATTTTTTTTATTTTTTAAATGTTCTTTCCTATTAAAATGCATTTGTTCTTGTTGCCTTCATCTTACGGGTGAAGTAAGTAAGTAAGTGAAATGTTATATTTGTTTTTAATTACATGCTCTTGGTATTTTAATTACTGGGATGACTTTTTTTTTATGATTGTCGTGCTCATGTCATCTGTCATAGAAATTAACCTTTTTAGTTAAGCCGGTGAATTTACAGAAATGTTTATTAATGTGCGCTTTCTTCATATATTATCCAACAAATAAAAAATGTTCTCCCTGCAGAGAGTCTGACAATGAATCTTCTGTTTCTAAAGCTGTGACAAAACAATCAACAATGACAATCTGTTAGCATTTGTATGTGAACATATCTGTAGGAGTCTGTCTCCTCAGTTAAATTTACTTGCTAAGTTCAAAATTTTTTGCTATTTGAATAAAGTATTATAGACTTAATCTACCTATTTTTCATACATTAGCATAAGTAGGAAGATTCATTACAATGCTCTTAAAAGCAACACGCATCTGGCCAGTAACTTAAACATAAACTGACTTTATAGTAAAAATATATTGATCAAATCCAGGTAAGAGAGTAAACTCATTGGATGTACTGCTTTGAAAAGGGGTTAAGAGGTTAGTTTTTAAATTAGGACATATTTTAAGGATTACACCGTGAATGAGACATGTGACAGGGGAAGTGAAAGTCCACACAGAAGGAAGCGGCTGCATGACGGAAACCTGCTGCACCAACAGTCAATACGGGGTCAGGCTGCAGGATGACGAGGACACAGCAGTGGTGGTTGTTTACCTCAGTGGCTTTTATTTCTGTGATTTCTAGGACAGCAGCAGCTCCAATGTAAGTCTGATCTTCTTCTATCCTCTAGTTTTTTATCACTGCATGCCTGCCTGTCTTCAATCCTGTTAGAGAAAGTTATAAATTTGATCTATTTGTTAATAGATCATCCCAAAGGGTCAAGGAAGATCAATTAATAGGCAGAGAAATTATCAAATATATCCATTCCCAAACTTATGGCGAAAATTTAACTTTTCTACAGGAAGTTTTACGTAAAAAAGGTTTCATAAAATACGTTTAGCTTTGAAACAGTATTTTAATATTTGGAGACTAAAATGTATTTTTTGCCAACTTTGTGTGTCAAACACTGATATTGTGTTAATGTTACGAGGCTAATTTTTACAGACTGAGGTGATGGTCAACAAAATATGAAGACTGGAAGAAAACATTTGAAAGCTTAAAGTGTCAAAGTACCATTAGGCAGGTTAAAAAAAAGATTTAATGTGTTTGTAATAAAGAATAACAATAAAATGTTACCTGTTGGATTTGGGTCAGGGGGAAAAAAACTCAATAAATCACACATTGAACATGAGAAATGTTTTTGGATATGCAGGGTAAACAGAAACTTTAATAGACTCAAACAAATGTTGTGAAACGAAAAGGTAAATGATTTATCTGTGATAAGATGTCAGTGACCTGTAACTGGGTCCAGTCTGGCCGGTCAAAACTTTACGTTTACCTCCTGTCCTGTTTCTGCTCTGCAGGAAGGTGATGTCTGCCCCCAACCTGCTGCGGCTGGGAAGACCACAAAACATCTTCGTGGAGTGCCAGGACTGCCCCAGTGAGAACAACTTCACCGTCGGCATCAGTGTGATGAACTGGCCGACCAAATCTCAAAGACTTGCACACGCCTCTGTGAACCTCAACACTGCAAACAGATTTCAAGGCTTTGGGGAAGTTGAGGTGATGTTGAAACCGAGGTTTACCTCAAACGTTTGCGGATTTAATTCATGAAAAGTGTGCAAATAAAACATTTTGAACCGTCTTCAAATGTCCAATATAAAAACCGCTCACTCCTTACAAACATTTCTTTTAAATCTTTGACAGATTCCTGCTGACGACTTCATTCGCAGTCCAAACTTAAAGCACTATGTGTATCTGCAAGCTCAGTTCCCCGATGCAAAGCTGGAGAAAGTCGTCCTCTTGTCCCTGCATGCCGGCTACATCTTCATCCAGACGGACAAAGCGCTCTACACGCCCAACAGCAAAGGTGAGTCCGACAGCGCCACAAACACACCTGGCCTGTTAGGTTGTTTAAACGAGGCGACTTTAACACCAGAGACGGTCATGAAATCAGTCAGGAAGTTCAAATTGCAAATGAAGATGGTCTTGATTTCTGAGACAGACTCTTTTTCCTCAGCTGAATTTTAGGCAATACTAAGTTATTTCTAAGTAGAAAATATAAAAAGAAAGAGACAAACAATGGGGACAAAAATTTGTCGGGGTCTGATGGTATTTGCAGAAGTTTACGTCCAAGTTAGAACTTAGCAATGGAAGTTTTAATGTTTTATTTTTGAGAAAATGGGAGTTCAGTCCACAGTTTTACCTGATGGGTTCATGTAAAAAGTCTCATGATAATTAGATGTGTAATATCTTTGCTGCAGTTCATTACAGGATATTTGCGATGACGCCTGACATGAAGCCTGTGGAGAGAGACAACATGACCCAGATGGACGCTTCTGTTGCCATTGAGTTTGTGGTAATTTATTTAACATTTGAATATTATTGTTGCATGTTATGTTATAAACAAAAAACATAGATGGTAACTCCATGTTCACTAAGCATTTCTAGAAGTGATTTCTCACAATATGTGTCAATATGTGAAGTTTCTGTGCCGTATTTAAACAAATTGACTGATATTTATTAATACAGATTCATAGAACGATAATTTTTAAATTAAGGATTTACTAAAAGCATTTTAATTATCAGTTTTAATAACAATAAATCTTGATTTCAACCCTTTAGACCCCTGAAGGTGTCATTCTACCGCTGGATCCAGTCGCTCTGAGGTCAGGAATTCATTCTGGAGATTTTCAACTTGCTGAAGTTGTCAGGTGAGTATATGGCATTTTTATATGCTCTGGAAAAAATTAAGAGTTCACTTAAAATGACCAGTTTCTCTGATTTTACTCTTTATAAAAGGGTAAAATCATGTTTGAGTATCATGTTGAGCTCTTATTCTATAAATTACTGACATCATGTCTCTGAAATTCCAAGCGAAAATTTAGTATTTATTTACAGAAAATGAGAAATAGTGAAAATAAAGCAAAAGCGCTTTCAGACCTCAAATAACGCAAAGGAAACAAGTTTATGTTAATCTATAATCAACAGTGCTAATGTTTTAACTCGTAATTTTTAAACACATAATTTTATTGCTACAGTTTTCCTGAATGTTTTTGGCTACAGTAAAGTGAAGGATCTTGTCGATTTGTGTCGTATTAACTTGACTTACCAGTAAACTGACTCACTAAGGAATTCAAGACAGTAATGTAACAAATATAGCTACCTATTCACTCTATCTTAACTTTACTACTAACTGGCACACATGGACAGTCAAAGATGGGAGGATTGTTTAAACAGGCCATACATCCTGATGCTCTTCCTGTGTGCCGTGTGTCAAGTGTTGGACTTTGGAGAATCGTGGCGAGGTTTCAAAGCATACCACAGATGAGCTACTCTGCAGAGTTTGAAATCAAAGAATACGGTGAGTTGCGTCAGTTTCCCTGACGTGCTGGTTGTGATTGTTCTGGTGTCAGGGCTCACTCAAACCTTAAACTTTCAGTGCTGCCCAGTTTCGACGTCAAACTGATACGCCGAAGTTCGTTCTTCTTTTCGGACAGCAAAGAACTCCACGTAGACATCAAGGCCACGTACGTTGAGTTTTTCTTTGTAGGAGACAAGTATTGATTATCAGATTGATTTAAGTTTTCTGTAGTACTTTGATCTACCGCAGTAGAAACTCGTGTTGGGACGTTAATAAATAAAAGTGCCTTCCTGCTGATTTCAGGTACATGTTTGGTGAAGATGTAGAAGGCTCTGCATATGGAGCTTTTGGAGTTGTCCATCAAAATCAAAAGAAGAGTTTCCCCAGCTCACTTCAGAGAGTGCCGGTAGGTCTTTACCTTCAGTTATTTTTCTGTTGCATTTGGCTTTATGTCTGTGAAACAGACAGTTTGTACCGATGAAATCTCACCTTTTTCTAAGTACGGCACTTTAAAACTGGAAAGTTGTCATGGAAACACTGTGGAAAAACTTTGCTTCTTTAAACAAAGCCCCAGTTACTAACTTGAAACTAGCTCGTAAGAATGGGAAGCATTTTCACTGGAGTTCATTCTTTCTAATTTTTGGATGTCTTCAAACAGCTAGGAATGTAACAAACCACTGACATTGTTGGTGAATACATTGAGTTGCAGCTGTGTGGTTAGATACTACAGTTGCCTGTGAGTGTAAATGAGATGTAAATGTGTGACAACACCAAACTCTAAAGTTAACCTGCGTTGTGTGACATTAGATCGAGAGAGGAGAAGGAGTGGTGACCCTGAAGAGAGAACACATTACTCAGAGCTTTGAAAACTTCACCGATCTTATGGGCAGCTCCATATTTGTGGCGGTCAGCGTGCTGACGAGCGACGGTAAGAGAAGCAGAGGTCGTTGGGGATCAGTGTCACTTATCCAGGAAAAACTGTGGTAGTCAGTTTATCACAGTGTGTGTGTCCTAATGAAATGGGTCATCTTGATTCTGTTAAAGCTTTTACGTAAACGTGTTGCCTTGGAGTCCTGGAAGTGCAACAATACAAATAATTAAACTCGTAAAATACAACATGACGTTTCTAAACTGTTAAAATCTTGAACATAATGTAAATTAGTATGTTATGGATCATTTAAATAAATGTGTCCTCTGTTCTTCAGTACTCAGTTTAACACTTTTTCATTTGTCATGTTTTTTTGTTATAAATATTTAGAAATTTCCGTTGATAAAATACTGAAAAGCAATTGTACCATATATATTTTTAAAATTATTATTTTAAGCCTCAGCTTTATTTTGTTTATCATTTTTTTTGGTGGAAATTATGACTGATGTGCCTTATGATTTAACTTTAAAACCCAGTGAGGATCGTATCATGTCACAATCTTATTGGAAAATGTTCAGACCGATCACTTTGTGTAAAAAGGGCTGACATTATCCTGAAGTGCATAATTTCAGCATTAGGGCCTGGTTTCAGGGTTATTCCCTGAAGGAACTGAACTCACTTCTTCCAACAATGGAAGCCTTAAAGGCCATTTTTATTATTATTATATTGTGACTACGTACCATTTTATCTGTAAAGTGGTGTGCTGTGACATCCAGAGCTATTATGTGTCCCCACTCCTGTGAAACAACACAATGAAAGCCTGACACTTCATTCTTATCCTCACAGGTAGTGAGATGGTGGAGGCAGAGCTGAGAGATATTTACATTGTCATATCACCGTACATCGTCCAGTTCTCCAAAACACCCAAATATTTCAAACCGGGATTGTCTTTTGATTTTGCGGTAAGATTTCTTTTGTCCTGTTTTGATTCACATGCAGACAAACTGATAGTCTGATGGGTCACATTTGACTGATTTGTAGCTGGTTGCTTAGAGTCTAAGCGAATCACTTTGTGAATTTGTGCATTTTAATGAACTGTTGGTCCAAAGATCAGACTTTCAGGTTCCTCACACATCCTCTTTCTTCTCTTTTCCATGCGAATGTTTGACCATATCCAGTTCTGTCAGATACGATTGATCTTTGTCTGATTGTTTCTTGAAAGGTTGAGGTTCTGAATCCCGACGGCACTTCAGCACAAGGAGTTCCTGTTGCGATCGATGAAGCTGATGTTGAAGGCGTTACTTCTGCCAACGGCATGGCGAGACTTTCAATCAATACGCTGGAAAACGCCGGACCGCTAAAGATCACAGTAAGTCCTGAGAATTGGTAGAAATGTGTTGTTTCACATTTTTATCTAGGCACATGGATAGACGCCTATTCAGGATGTTGATCTCATGTTTAAAATAAGCATCGAAGCCTGCATGAACACTCTTGTAAGTTTCTCGCATTTCTGACAATAGTGTGATTCAAAAACATGATGTATCGAGTAATATTTTCTTCCTCTAAAAAAAAACCATTTAATTGTATTTATTCATACCTGTAAGAGCTCTATAGCTGTGTTTGCTAGAGTGCATCTCTGTTTGTCAATTATATTTCTTTAATATTTATACTTTTGCTTAACTGTGTAGGTAAGGACCAAAAATCCTCGAATTTCAGCTGAACGACAAGCGTCGGCAAGCATGACTGCTCTGCCTTATCGCTCAACAAGCAAAAACTACATCCACATTGGTAAACACTAGATTTATGTCCATCAGTTTTCTCTGCATAAACACACTTTGTGGTAAATGACTGTTGTCTCTGCAGGAGTGACAACAGCAGAAGTAAAACCAGGAGATAACCTGAAAGTGAACATCAACCTCAACAAACAGGACAATCCAGAAAACGACGTGACATATTTGGTGCGAGAGCAAATTTTATGTTTGCTTCTAAAAACGTCTGAAGCAGAGCTTTATGCAGTCTTTTTTTTATTTTTATTTATTTATTCCTGCTTTCAGATCCAGAGCAGAGGTCAATTAATAAAGCATGGACGCTTTAGAGCGAAAGGTCAAGTGATGATATCCATGACCCTCACCGTTACCAAGGAGATGCTGCCGTCATTCCGCATCCTGGCCTTCTACCATCCCAATGACAACGAGGTGGTGTCGGATTCAGTCTGGGTGGACGTGAAGGACTCCTGCCTCGGCTCGGTGAGGCACGGTGCAGCAGCAGGGCTCACAGTGGAAAATTAAAGTTCAGACATTTCTTAGAGACCATCTGGCATCTTATGGATTTACATTCACCAAGATATCTAGACAGGAAAACTGAAAATTAAATCCAACTTCTAACTGAGTTCAGCTGTTCAGTGTTATTGATCATGGTAAATATTTGGACACACTTTAAAACATAAAGGTTCTCACAAATGGTTCTTTTGTTGTATTGAAACCATATTGGCATGTAAAGAAAAAAACATTTCAAAGATATGAAGATGAAGAAATTAAGTAAGAATTGTGATTTAATGTGTGTGAAGGGAGTAAAAGGGCTCTTGTGTACAGTGTAAATTCTGCTTTAAATTGTCTGCTCTTTTGTTTTAGATGATAACGTTTGTGTCTCCCAGCGCTCCCGTTCTCTAAGCATCGTCCTCATCTCATTGTCTACATGCCTTCTGCTGTTATTCACAGTTCTTACTCTTTTAATCATATTATGCATGGAAATAAGGGACGGTCCCATCTACTTCCAACAGCTGAAACTAGAGCCACTGAAACTTTCCGCCTCCTACGAACCTCGGAGAAAGTTTGACCTGAAAATCACAGGAGATCCTGAGGCCACAGTGGGGCTGGTGGCCGTGGACAAAGGCGTCATCGCTCTTAACAAGAAATACCGTCTGACGCAGAAAAAGGTGATCTTCTCTCCTGACCATGTTCAGCACTTAAAGCCAAAGCGTCTTTGCATGTCAAATATTCATCTTTTTTTTTTTAAACGTTTTATCTTAAGGAGCTCTTTTGATTCCTCAGGTGTGGGACACAGTTGAGAACCACGACGTCGGTTGCACACACGGCGGAGGAAAGGACAGTATGAGTGTGTTCTACGATGCTGGGCTGCTGTTTCAGTCCAACTTACAATCCGAGACGCCGCCTAGACAGGGTAGCTAAACAAAACAAAAATACAATGATGCGTGAAAGAAGAGAGATGATGGCTTGTTGTCCTGTTCCGGTTAAAATAGGAGGCCTTTCTTTATTTTTGTTTTTACATAAGGCTAAAAAAAAAAAAAAAGGAAAAATCTAATTTCTTCTACTGTTAACTCCACCTGGAATAAATCTGAAATAACTTTGTCGTGACACGTGCGTCCATGTTTTAGATCCGACGTGCTCAGCCCTCCGGAGGAGGAAACGGGACTCCGCCCTGGTGAACGCCACCACCGAATTATGTAAGAGCCGTCACAGAAAGCAAGAGCAATCTGCATCCACGTTTGACCTGAGTCGTCTTCTCAGACAGTTTTGGCTTTTTAGACTTATTTCATTGTAAATACATCTTGTGTTTGTTCAACATACAGAAAAACAGCAGGTTGAGTTTCCAACAGCATTGCCACTGATACATGCACATTAAATTCTTGGTAACATCCCTTTCATTGATGCACAACACGTTGTAATGGATGCATAATGTATGATATCGCTAATAAATCATTTTATCAGCTGATCTTTTGGCACATTTACAAATATGCTGCACCCTTGATCCAGAAATAATCTGCAAATGGGTTTAAAACTCTTCTCAAAGGGGGGTATTGTCTATTTGTCAGTCACAAAGTGCCATTTTCTTAGTTCAATGAAGTAACTATGCTGCCTTCAGCTGGTATGAAAATGCTGCAAATGTCAAAACCCACTTAAAAGACATGTGTCATATCTGTATCTGACCCTTTGAAATTGGCGTCTGTGTCTTTAGTGTCAACACTTCTCCATGCCGTGTGCTGATGCGGTTTACAAACATTTGTAGGAGCGCTGACTGAGAAGTAGTTCATCAGTTCGTTAAGGCAACCTTGAATGGTTGCCACGGGCGATTCAACGATTTCTAAAACATGCATTAATGAGTAAAAGCAACAGTTTGCATATGTTGCTGATGAGGGAATAACGTTATAACATAATATAAAGCTTAAAAAAAAACTTTTGCACAACACTCCCTCTTTAAGAGCATAATAGCATTTCTTAAACCTCCTTCATGGACTCTTGTCTTATGTTCTATTTTGTAAGTTTTTATTTAGTTTGTACTTAAGTAAATTTATGATGTCTAAATTGTACCTTTTAATTACTGTTTTGTAAACT